CAAATTCTCTTGTGTCAACTACATTTACAAAACCCTGTTCTTAAATGCAAATCCTGCTCTGAAACTTTCCCTGGACAGATGTAATAGGACCCATTATCACCACACCAGAAATAAATATCTCTTTGATATCCCCATAGTTGAACTTAATCTGTATAAACACTTTATGCAAAAGGGGCCCAGTCTATGGAACTCACTCCCTAATGAATTGAAAAGTTGTCCAACTTTTGCATCATTCAAAAACAAAACTAAAAATACCTAATTTCATCTTCATAGTTTTTTATCTTGTTGCTTTAAAATTGCACTGTATCAAGTGCTACCCAATCTTTATGTACCCAATCCGAACAACTTTACCATTGTGATCATTGCTATCTTCTTATATGTGCTATCAATTTGCTGTATGGTGCCTATTAATCTTGTTTAAATAACCAATCAAGCTGTGAATGTAATCAGTCAGCGCTTTAATATACCAATGTGCTTTAATATGCTGTACTTACTAATCTCTCTCATCTCATTTTTTTCTTGCAATGTATCTGCTATCATTTTATTAATTCTGCTAGAATTTACCTACCTAAAGTTCTGTTAGATTAAGTACCTGCCCGAAACGCTGCGAGTACTAGTGGCTTTACAAGACTTTAAATACCATGGTATGTATTCTCACAAACCCAATGTACCTTCTTGTATATAAATAAATAAATAATAAATAACATCAACAAAATCTTGTAGACTTGAGGGAAAGTGAAATTTACACCAGTTCCTCCATCTATCATCATTCTATTATGCAGGAAGAACCGCACGCCCATGGGTCATCCAATAAGGTTAGTAGACTTCTAGATGTCACCACTACTAGTCTTGGACTTGGCTACAAGTACCTCTGGGAGTTTGTAACATCTGCTGATGTAGATTTGACTAAATGTAAACTCTGTCAGCAGAACTATTTGCATACTTTGTGTCATTGCATAATGGAATGTGAAAAAATTGCGGAATTCAGAGATAACGCCATCAATGGAGTCCAATAAATGTGTAAGTACTTCATTTATAGTGATGTACTGCCAGGAATCTTAGCCAAGTATCCAAAATTTGCATACTGTAGGTAATGCCTGCATAGGACTGTAAAGTTTTGTGGGTGTGGAGCAAGACTAGTAACTGTGATGATGTAAAGTGCCTTGTATAGTGACTGTTGTGAGCCTCTTGTTGAATCACTTGTGTTATTAATTTAACACTTTCGCGCTATCTGGACGCGCCGGCGCGTCCTGTTTCGTCTAACGTAAACGCATAGTGGACATAAAGTTATGTCCTCTTTTAAAATATTTGTATAAAATTCAATTTTAATCCGATTTCATTGGGGTTTGTTTCAAACGACGCGCCATGAAGTTCTCTTTCTCACCACTAGGCTGCCTGGCGCGTCGGCCTACCCGGTCACGTGACGGGCCCATTGTTTTCGTGTCACGTGTCGTGAGTCGGTCACGCTCCCCTTGCGCGCCAAACTCGAGCATTTTTACCCGTTTCCGTGTGGATTATACCCAATTACTTCATCAAAAATGGATCAAGGTCAAGGCCCAAGCACTTCTACGCCCAAGGAAGCCTCCAGGTCATCGAGAGTGGACAAAATAACCCAAATTTTTAAGAAGTGGAGCGGAGTGAAGCTCACACCAACGAAAATTCCAGGCCTTGTGGAGGATTTATCAGAAGCTGAAGGTGATGCAGAGGTATTGGAGGAAGATTTTGGAACCCACAACGATTATAGTGTACCTAGAGCTAGAGGGAATGATACGGCAACGAGTGATGAGGAGACTGAGGCCCTCACCGAGGAAGAGGAGGCACCGCGACCCCCTCCTCCTCCTCCATCTCGGCGCACACGTGGTGCATCTAGGCTACCTAGAAAAGTAGCTACCAGACATGTTACTCGTCGTAGGAACACGACAAATTGCGCCAAGTGATTCTGAAAGTATAAGTGATGAGGAAAGTGATGAGGATTCATTCGAGCCTGCTAAAAGGCGTACACGTACAGTACGTACTCGGCAGGCTGGGGCTGGTGAGGGCTGGAGTCGTAGCAATACTTCTCCAGTTGTTGATGATTTTACTGGAAATCCTGGACTGAAAATTCCCAAGCCTACTAGTGCACTGGCTTATATTCAATTGTTCATCACGCGTGCCCTCCTTGAGTTCTTTACCGTTGAAACAAATTTGTACGCCTCGCAGTTATTCCGGATGGCCAATGAAAATGTATCAGATATTTGGACCCCAGTGAAGGTGAGTGAAATGGCGCGATTCCTAGGACTGTTCATATTGATGAGCATAATTAGGCTCCCAACTATGAGGATGTATTGGCAAACAGCAAAGCCATGGCATGCTCGTTTCTTCAGCTTGTTCATGCCGTCCAGACGATTCCAGCATATAAACCAGTTTTTCCACACATTCAATACCAATGCAGTGCCCGTGAACAATCGTGATAAGTTGATAAAAGTGAGACCAGTGATGGATTACTTGAAAGAGAGGTTTGCTCAAGTTTACATCCCCAAGAAAGAGTTGTGTTTGGATGAGGGTACAATGCCATGGCGAGGCCGACTATCCTTCAAAGTGTACAATCCAAACAAACCAGACAAGTATGGTGTGAAACTTTATATGCTTGCTGAATCTGTCTCTGGGTACATATATGACTTTGACGTATACTCAGGTATTGGTAAGACGATAGTGGATACAGTAACGGGGTTGATGCAGCCTTTAGTGAACCAGGGTTACCATTTGTACATGGATAATTACTACAACTTGGTTACCCTGACAGAAACATTGAGAGAACTTGGGGTGTACACATGTGGCACAATTAGAATGCTACGTGGCGCCCCAAAGGTATTGCAAGCTCTAGCCAAGGGTAAACTTCCACTGGATACCACAGTATACCGCCGCAAAGATAATACCTTCATTCTCCTGTGGAAAGACAAGCGAGTGGTTTCAATCATTACCAACATCCACAATGCAGATACTCAGCGAGTTCAGCGAAGGAAGCGAATTCGCAACCGAGACGGAACAAGTGGAATACAACAGGTAACAGTGAACAAACCGACTGCAATTTGCGAGTACTATAAGTTCATGAAAGGTGTGGACCACTTCGATCAAATGGTTAAATATTACCATTTTACCAGGAAAACTCACAAGTGGACCAAAAAGATTACCTTTTATTTCCTGCAAATGGCATTGCATAATGCCTATGTTTTGTACAAATACAACACAACTGATCGAAAAAAGCTAACATTGCTACAGTTCCACGAAGTGGCAATCTGGGCCCTATTGCACTGGGACACAGAGGAGTGGCCTAAAACAACATCATCATCTCAACACTTGCGGCACGCTCCAGACATAAATGATGACACAGCTCCTGCCAATGCTGACGCCATGCCAACTCCCGGACCATCTGGTGTGAGGCGGCCTTTGTTCACTACACCACCTCAAGATGAAGCAGACAACGAATCTGAACCCGACATGTCTGCCACACTGACAGTTGACGAAACTGTTTTATCAGATGAATCTGACTCTCCTGCAACTCCTGTTACACCACCAGCGAGAAGACCTGGCCGCCCTATTGTTGATTCAGAAAATCGCATGAACTACAAACTGAAACATGAAATTTACAGACTGCCCAAACGTCTCAAGTGTCATGCATGCGCACGGTCCGGTAAAAGGAAGGACACGAACTATGGATGCAAGACCTGTGGTGTTGCACTCTGTGTTGTTCCCTGCTACACCAATTACCACCGGAAACAGGTGTATTGGGTGGTGAAGAAGTAACCACCCGCAACAGCTTCACTCCACCTACAAACCATCTGTTGAGCAACTTCAGGAATGAAGAACCTGAAGAAGGTGGAGTGAAGAACAAATGCTCAACTTACTGTTCCACAACCAGCCTTCCCTTGGTAAGTACACCTATTTGGTCCAAGTTTGTGTAGTATAATTTAGCTCATAGAACATTCTATTGCGAAAACATTGCCACAAAAATGAATGACATACATACAATAATAATATCAGAACAGTGAAATAAGTATAAACTTTCAAAGCAACGTTTCGCGCGTGTGTCGTCCGGTCGCCGTTACCGGGTAACAGTGCGCCCACTTCCCACACTCTTGCAGGTGGGCCGGGACCATTATTCTACGATTATATTCATATCACCGTGTTGGGAATTTTATTGGGAGTCCATTGATACCAAAATTAAGGCTGTAGGACAATTGTAGAGGTGATAATAATCCCAAGAGTAAAAACATTTTGTTGCTGTTGAGCGCTCACGGCGACTCATCTTCGTAGTTATTTATTTCATGCTGGTATCTCTATAGCTTTCGTGACTTTTCTTACTGATGTTCTTCTAGAGAATTTTATTGCGAACACGTTGGTACCAAAACGAAATACGTAGCATGAAAACTAAGGTCAGAAAAGTAAAAAGAGTATACACATTTTTGTTTTTACGCTTAAGCGATAAAAACGCCGCGCGCACATACGGTTGGCTGAGTGACCTTCGCCGAGAGCGCGAAAGTGTTAAAAGATTATTGTTGTGTGTGTGTGTGACAATGTGCACAACTGCACATTGCAGTTGTGCTGCAATGTGTGCTCATGTGCACAACTAGCCACTGCTCTGCCAGAAATTCCAAATGTCTTTTCCTTACAAATCAACACATTTGGGTTAACACTTAACACATTCTTCCAAAAAGAACCCCTATTTTACAATTTTCCTTTTTAGGCTTATCAGGGTTCAGTTCTGTGGTAGTCTCCATCCAGATCACTCAAATACTGTAACTTTTAATGTAAAGCTATAAAACTTGGATATTTGCTTGTGAGGGAGCTCCATTAAGATGGAGGATTAATGAATGCTTAGGCCGATCCTGCACATTGTAAGTTCTGGGTTTTAATATTAATCAAAGATCTGTCATGTTTGTTTTAATTATAGAAGCTTGTATTTAAAGTTAGGATTCAGCCATTTGAAATTTTATGCATAGATATTATTTTTATATTCACAGGTGTACTGTTGAAGAAAAACAAGCAGAGAGAGATGGTTGAAAACACAAGGTGTATCCCAAGTGGTATCAGAAACAGCGAAGAACCTCATATATATTAAAAAGTTAATGTTGGTAAATTAGCAACAATTAACAGTGATTGTTGCTCCGTCATCAGCAGACTGGGTGATTTTTAGTTTAGCAGTAAAGTGAATGAAATTGAAAACAAAGAAAACTGTGGCACAGGATCCAATTAATTTGCAGTAGAGATGCCAAAACTAATGTTACTTATACAGTACTGTAATAAGTTTGGTTCTCTTCACTTAAAACATCAGAAACAGCAGTTGCAATAGTGTCAAAAGTAAAGCAGACAAGAACATCATTGAGAGAAAGAATAGTGTCAACAACACCAGAGCGGGTGTGTGGCAAAAGGTTCATGTGCCTTGATTGACTTGATCAGTGATAAGTTGCCTGAGCAGAAGAGTAAATAGTTCAGCGTTGACAGCTGGATTTGGGTGACTAGACAATCATGGCAGAAGCTCGTAGTGCTGTGGCAACACCCAGGGTCCAGATAAAGGACCTGGGCACCACTGATTCCTTTGTTGACTTCCTTAAGTTTTATCGCCAGATGATCATCAGAAATTACTTTCGCTTTCGGTGAGTACTGTATTGTGTACATGTGCATGGTAGTATATATCGAGCTACTTCGAAGTCATCATGGATGCTCATGACATATTGGGAATACATTTGTCACAAAATTATCAATAATCATTATGATATAATAGATATACAGTACATAATATATAAGAAAATCAAATTAATTTCTCGTGTATACTGTACTCTTCAATATGATTCTTCCTCGATTATAAATACTGTACTTTATAATTGTCTTTATATATAATTATAAAGATATTAATAGATAGAATATAAGATAGAGGTATTAATCAGATAAGATATTAATAAGATAGAAGATTGGGAGTCCATAATCATTTTTGGGTGTTTAGAAAAGATAACACTAGCTAGGATAAACAGAGTAACAAAAGATGAACAAATCATTGAGAAGATAGTAGGTTTAGGAGAAAGCATCACAACAAAGAAAAATATCAGTGATGTCAGACATTTAATGTTAGTATGTAGTTCAAAGAATATTGGACTCGACTTACTATGTACACACTGTAATGCACATTACTGTGTATGTGTAATTACGTAAGTGTAGTTACAGGATGAGAGCTACGCTCGTGGTATCCTGTCTCCCCAGCACTCTTTGTCATATAATGCTTTGAAATTACTGACAATTTTGGCCTCCACCACCTCACCTAACTTGTTCTAACCATCTACCACTCTGTTTACAAAAGTGAATTTTCTTATATTTCTCCGGCAGCTTTGTTTCGTTAGTTTAAATCTATGACCTCTTGTTCTTGAAGTTCCGGGTCTCGGGAATTCTTCCCTATCAATTTTATCGATTCCTGTTACTATTTTGAACGTAGTGATCATATCGCCTCTTTTTCTTCTATCTTCTAGTTTTTTCATATTAAATGCCTCTAACCTCTCCTCGTAGCTCTTGTCCTTCAGTTCTGGGAGCCACTTAGTGGCATGTCGTTGCACCTTTTCCAGTTTGTTGATGTGCTTCTTAAGATATGGGCATCATACAACCGCTGCATATTCCAGCTTTGGTCTAACAAAAGTCGTGAACAATTTCTTTAGTATTTCTCCATACATGTATTTAAAAGCAATTCTGAAGTTAGAAAGTGTAGCATAGGCTCCTCGCACAATGTTCTTAATGTAGTCCTCTGGTAACAGTTTTCTATCTAGAACCACCCCTAGATCTCTTTTCTTTGTCAAAATTCTTTAAAGATTTCTCACATAATTTAGAGGTTGTGTGGGGTCTATGTTCTCCAATTCCACATTCCGTAACATGGCATTTATTCACATTAAATTCCATCTGCCAAGTATTGCTCCATATACTTATTTTGTCCAGGTCTTCTTGAAGGGCATGACAATCATCTCGGTTTCTTATCTTCCCTATTATCTTAGCATCATCAGCAAACATGTTCATGTAATTCTGTATTCCATCTGGTAGATCGTTTATGTAGACAATGAACATTACCGGTGCAAGAACTGAACACTGTGGTACTCCACTCGTGACATTCCTCCAATCCGATACCTTGCCTCTGATTACGGCCCTCATTTTTCTGTCAGGAAATTTTTCATCCATGTTAGAAGCTTACCTGTCACCTCTCCAATATGTTCCAGTTTCCAGAACACCCTCTTATGGGGGAACTCTGTCGAAAGCCTTTTTTAGGTCCAGATAGATGCAGTCAACCCAACCATCTATTTCCTGTAAAATCTATGTGGCTCGATCATAAAAGCTGAGTAAGTTCGTTACACAGGATCTTCCAGATCGAAAACCATACTGTCTATCTGATATTATATCGTTTTCCTCCAGGTGTTCTATCCATTTAGTTTTAATTATTTTTTCCAATATTTTGACTGTTACACTTGTCAATGATACAGGTCTATAATTAAGGGGGTCATCCCTGCTTTCACTTTTGTAGATTGGAACTATGTTAGCCTCTTTCCACACATCAGCTACAACTCCTGTAAACAGGGATGCCTGAAAAATCAGTTGAAGTGGAATGCTGAGCTCAGGTGCACATTCTCTCGGAACCCATGGTGAAACTCCATCTGGACCAACTGCTTTATTCTTACTGAGCTCCTTGAGCATTTTTTCCACTTCGTCTCTAGACACCTCTATGTGTTCTATGTTGTTCTCTGGAATTCTTATTGTGTCTGGTTCCCTGAAGATTTCATTTTGTACAAACACACTTTGGAACTTTTCGTTTAGTGTTTCACACATTTCCTTTTCATTTTCCGTGAATCTATTTCCCATTTTTAACCTCTGAATATTATCCTTTACCTGCAATTTGTTGTTTATGAATTTATAGAATAGACCTGGTTCTGTTGTACATTTGTCTGCAATCCCTTTTTCAAAATTTCTTTCTGCCTCTCTCCTCACTGCCGTGTAGTTGTTTCTTGCATCTTTGTATCGCTGGTATGTTTGGGGGTTTGGCCTCTTCCTGTATTGATTCCATTTTTGTGTCTTTTGGTCTCTGGCCGTCTCGCAATTTCTGTTGAACCAATCCTATTTCCTAGTTCTGCATCTCTATTTTGGTATAAATTTTTTTGTGCCTTTATCATATATTTCACAAAACTTGACATACATCTCATTCACTTCCTTGCCTAGCAACAAGTCTGTCCAATTATACTCACTAAAAATTTCTAAGGTCGCCATAATGTCTTCTCCTGAAGTCAGTTTTTTCAACTGTTTCAACCTCCTTATTTTCTTCCAGATTGTAACGCATTGCATACTTTATTCCCAAAAAGACATGGTCACTTTTACCCAAGGGAGAAATGTACTGAATGTCAAATATCTCTTCCTCCTTCCTGGTAAATATTAAATCTAACATGGAGGGAACGTCCCGTTCCCTCATCCTCGTAGCTTGTTTAACATGTTGATACAAGAATGTTTCCAGGATCAGGTCTACAAATCTACAGGTCCAAAAATCTTCTGTTTTAGCTTCATATGCTTCCCAGTCTATGGATTTCAAGTTGATGTCGCCGACTATCAACAGTCGTGATCTATCGTTATCCGCTCTCGCTATAATAGTAGTGTGGAGGAAGTGGGTATTGTGGTACAAAATAACAGCAATATTGCAGAGACAGGTAATGTAAACAATGAGAGCAACAGTGAGACAGAGTGCATAAATGAAGGAATTGGGACGAAAGACGGAGATGGCTCCAATAAAGAGGTAGACAAGACAGGCTCAGGTATAAATACCTTGAAAAACTAAAAAAATGAACATATTTGCAAATTCTACACTCAAGAAATATGCAATTATGGAAAATTAGGAGCAAAATGCAATTTTCTGTATCCTCGAAAATGCAGGAACATGTTGGCGAGGGGTACATGCCATTTTCGAACAGGGTGTAGATACTTCCACCCTAAATTATGTCAATTTTCAATTAGGGACAAAAAATGCTACAATCTTCAGTGTCTGGAATTCCATGTGAGAGGTACACAGCGTTATAGACGGGAAGATCAATATGACACTACTGGAAATTTTTTAGAGGAAGGTAGAAACAGAGTAGAAAATATAAGAGAGGAACAGTCAGATCGAACCACTACAGGATTACAGAGGGGGAGGGAGATACCCACAAGACTGGAATACAAATTATCAACAAGCGCACAGGTACTACACCACACAACATTCGTCCTACTACCAAAACTGGACGAATCACTTCCAAACCAACACAACCTGGACCTGGGTAGAGTGGGGGGGAGAACTACCAAAGCCCACCAGAAGTGACACGCAATGTGGGAAATCATTCATATTTGCAAACATACAAGGCTTGAAAACAAAATCAAGAAATAGTTAAGTTCATAAATGGCCTCCTAATAGAATCAAACTCAATATTTGGTGCATTTACAGTGGTGCATCCTGAACTCGAAGGGGGCAAGGGCAATAAATAGATGAGAGAGAGCTGAGGAGATGGAAATCTTAGAGGATGGTAAGAGCAAGGCAAAAGGTATGGAAGGAAAGGTGTAATAAAGGGTGTAATAAAAGGAATAAGAAAGGGATTGTAAGATAAAAACAAGAGAAAGACAAAGATAAAAGGAAGGGTAAGCTTATGTTAGGTTATGTTTGTTAGAAAGTTTAAAGCATTTGAGTAGCTGCTGTGAAAGGGAAGAGTTGACAGCAGCAACAGCCAGGACTTTGGTTCGTGTTGGGTTTGTTGTGTATCAGAGCTGATTTGACAAGACGGCATCTGTGTCGAGTAGAGGCAGGAAAGATTATTTTGGAGGAAGACAAATCAATAGGATGATTAGAATCCCTAACATGACAGAAGAGAGCATTGTTTGTGTCTGCAGACTTAACGCTTCTTTTGTGTTCTTTAAGTCTGTCATTAAGTGTACAGCCAGTTTCACCAAAGTATTGGTGAGGACAAGACAGACAAGAAATAGAGTAGACACCAGCAGCATTAGAAGCAGGAGGAGGCGCAGCGTGAACTAGATTGCTACGAAGAGTGTTAGTTTGTCAAAAGGCAAGCTTTATCAAGAGGACGAAAATTACTGTATTAGTAAAAGTTTTGAGTTCAGATATGAAAGGAAGGCAGAGCACAGTGCTACTAGCGTTGGAAACAGGTTTAGGATGAAAGAAATTTCATGTAGCTTGAGAATAGGCACAGTTGATAAAATGTAAAGGGTAACCAAGGTGAGAACAAGATTTGTAGATAAAGGAAATTTCAGAATCAAGAAACTGAAGGTTGCTGATACATAGAGTGCAGAGGAAGAGAGAGACAAGGACACTTCCAACCATCCTTCTCCTGTTAAGAAAAAAAGAAGTGAATGTACATGCCACTATGCATGGGTTTGTCCCCTTCCCCATAATGTCCTCTCCCAAAATCAGGTTTTTCAACTACTGTACTTCAACCTCCATATTTTCTTCCAGATTATAACTCATTGCATACTTTACTCCTAAGAAGACAAGGTCACATTTACCCAAGGGAGGAAGGTACTGAATGTCAAATATCTCTTCCGCTTTCCTGGTAAATATAAAATCCAGCATGGAGGGAACATCCCCCTTCCCTCGTACCTTGAGATTACATTGAGATGTTTTTGGGGCTTAGTGTTCCCGCGGCCTGGTCCTCGATCAGGCTTCCTTGTTGCTGGATTGGTCAACCAGGCTGTTAGACGCAGCTGCTTGCAGCCTGATTGATGTATGAGGCTCATCCTCGTAGCTTGTTTAACATGTTGATTAGGACTGTTTCCAGGATGAGGTTTACAAATCTACAGGTCCAAAAGTCCTCTGTTCTAGCTTCATATGCCTCCCAGTTTATGGATTTCGAGTTAAGAGTCGCTGACTACCAAGAGTTGTAATCTATCTTTGTGACATGGAAAAAGTTCACAGGTTTAGCCAATTTCCATGTTAGGTAAATGTTAATTCTGACTAATGTTGAAGTTTTTATGAGTTTTGTAAAAAAAAAAAAATACCATGTATAATATTTAGCCCAATTAGCATTCTGGTGCTCAATGGGTTTTATATATGCTATCATTATCTTGGCAGCAACTCGATTCGCAATGGGGTGTGGCCGACATCCACCAACAACTTGGGGGTGGCCTGTGCATTCTCGGTCTACCTGCTGGAGTATGAGCCCACATCAGCCCAGGCTCTCACTGCCTACCTCAAGCAGGCCGTGCATGCTCTGCCTCTTCCTGTCAGTGAGTACACCCTATCCCTTCCTATGTTACCATCCATTCATATGTTAACATCCAGGCTCTGACTGCCTACCTCAAGCAGTCTGTACAAGCTCTGCTTCTACTTGACAGTGAGTAGGGTAAAGTATAAGGGCACTGCTGCCTAGAAATTACCAAATAGCATCTGCACCAGTACAATGAATGAAACCACAAAAATGCTAGGAACTTCCAGAGCAACAATGTTAAGTCATACAGAGCCAAAGTTTTTTTTTTTTTTTAAATAGTTTCTGAAATTACAATGGGTTTATTTCTATATCCTTAAATTTTAGATGTGCAAAATATATATTGACTGTGGCTGTAATCACTATTGAATGCTAACTTCACTTTAGGATTACTTGTCCCACAAAACTTAGACAAAATTAAAAGTAGGTATACTCTCGGGCTCAAAAATATTAACACTAGAATTTACTGCACTTGAAGTGTGTTCTTATTTGGATCTAACTGTCACACACTATATACATTCACCATCAACACGTTCAGAACACCCCGAGTGTGAGCTGTCACACCCAGCCAGGCCTCCCTCACTCCTCCAACATTGTATTCGCCAACATTGCTCCTCCCATCATAGTTATTCACACCAATGTTTCATGTTCATTTATGTATATTTACAACACATGGACACACTATACACTGTCACACACTATATACATTTACCATAAACACATTCATAACATCGAGTGTGAGCAGCCACACCCAGACAGGCCCTCCCTCACTCCAACATCTTACTCGCCAATATTGCTTCTCCCACTATACTGTTACTGTTTTTATTACACTATTTACACATGTTATATATACCTATCTACAGGTTTTATTTACCAGAACTAAGCAAGTAAGCCAGTATTGTGTCCAAAGAGTACAGTGGCTACCATACACTGCATGAGAAATCACACGGCAGCCAGCAGACGATGCTACGATTACGACGTCACCTCCCTCACCAAAATAGTTCCACTCAATATACCCCTGTTGCTGTTATTACATTATATATACACACACACTGTATATACCCATGTACATGTGTGTTCCCCATAGTGAACCACGAAGCTAGTATGGTGAGCAAAACGAGAGTGGTTGCCACTCACAGTGAGGCTACCTCAGTTCTCTCCCTCACCAAAATTCCTCCTTCCATAACACTACGCACAATGCACAATGCACAATTATAACCACAATCCTGGTCACTAATTCCTGTAAATGAATAATTGACCACAAGTTTATTTTGAAAAGGAACCTAAGAAGTCGTTTGAAGATTCCTAGATGGACGAAATAATGCTATGGTGCTGTGAACATCGTGAATGGCATTAAATCGCTGATATTTGAACATTGTACCCAGTCATTATCACACTCGGGCTCTTCTATAATACTATCATGGCTAAATAATATAGGTTATATATATATATTTTGACATTATTAGGCGATGCTGTGGTCACACGCTGAACAGCAGTGCTGTGCACTCATGCTGGGAGCGCCAGCCTTGGTTGCTCACTCACTACTGAGGCTCTCACACATGGGAATGTGGACCATGATTTTTTTTAAAGATGGCGTCTATTTACAAGAGCCCTGAGGAAGCTGATGTGAACCCCATGTAGCCGCGAAAGTTTTGAATGGAACATGAAAAATACAAATACCTGGAGGCGCGTAGCGCAGCCCAGACGTGGGCCTGCAGGCGCATTGCGCAGTTAAAGGGTTAAGGAGCCACTAGGGTTTCTCCAGGAATTGGAGTTTTTATTACATTCAATGGTGGGTTTTCTTTAGAATAATTATGCCCTTATCCAAATTAGGATAACCCACCTCAGATTTGCTTGTAGGACTATTGTATGACGAGCCTTTCCACTAATACCCATTGAATGAATGAAAGGTACATGATAGATGGAAATCAAATGCTGTATAATTAATCACTAGTTTAACTCTCATGACTTTATATACTCTCATTTTAAATTCCTGAACCCATTATGTGGCTCTCAAACAATTTTGCCATCAGCTACATGGTTTTTTCGTTACAGAAACTCCACGATGGCTGGCCAACTTACTTGGATCGATGGGCATCTCCTTTGTTTTCTTCATCATGCTTATGAAGGTGCGGCAGTATCTTCTGCGTATCCTGCTGGCATACAGAGGATGGATGTGTGAGTCCTGTTTGCATTTATTAATTTAAATGAAGAATTAAGATTGGAGCTCGGGTAGTTTTTATGGTTTAATGTAACAATGTAGCTAGTGTGGAGTTTTGGTGGTTCCTAGGGTAAGTGTTTTCATAGTTTTGAAGTGTGCAGGTAAACAGCTGCTTATCATAGATTAACCAAAATAGGTGAGAATAATTCTTGGATACTGTATATGGCAATCTCAGAAGTGTGTGGGTATATTGTATGTTTCAAACTTTTCCATAAGAATATAAGAATAAAGGGAAATGCTGAAGGCCTATTGGCCCATGTGAGGCAGCTCCTATTTATTCACCCAAACTCATTCATGTATGTGGGTATATTGGGAACCTCCATGGCCAACCATGGAGGTTCAAAACGTTGTGCAAATTGTATAAATAAGTGTAATACATTCTATAGTAATTCACTTCTTTTCTTCACCTTGAAATTACGAAAATGAGTTTTGGAGAACTCCTATTTCAGCTAAGCCCTGATGCTAAGAAAATAGAGGGATAGAAGCCCTAAATCAGTAGATAGTAAATACAGAATATGCGGTCATATTCAATGAGACATGTTTGAAAGAAAACCTGCTGCAAGTATACACCAAAATAAATAAATAAATAAATAAATATATATATATATAATATATATAAATTTATTTGTCAATTGTATTTTATAAAATTGTCAATTGTATTTCCTGATTTTTTGTCTGTAGGGATAAGGATAACGTTTTGATAGGAAGATTATCTCTACAGACAAAAATCAGAAAATACAATTGACAATTTACTACAAAAACAAAAAAATGGCCAACCTACTCATGGAAAAACTCCCTGGACACCAAACGGAATGCCTTGCAGGAAACGAACGTCATCTATGCCTTCACATGCCCGCTAGGGAACGGTAAGCCCCAAAGAACTCGGTATATAGACAAGACAACAACGTCTCTTTCTTGGCGATTAACTATGCACAAACAACAGGGCTCCATCAAGGAACATATAATCTCTTCTCAGCTGGAGAAACAGGCAGGAGTAACTGGTAGGGCGCTCCAGTGGATAAGGGAGTACCTAAGCAATAGGAAGAAGAGTGTCACAGTGAAGGGTGAGACCTCAGATTGGCGTGAAGTCACCGGTGGAATCCCACAGGGCTCTGTAGTCGAACTTAAAATTTTGGACAACACATGTGCGATACGGCGCTTTGAAAGTTTATACTTATTTCACTCTCATGACATTATTATTCTATGTACGTCATTCATTTTTGTGTCAATGTGTTCGCAATAGAATGTTCTATGAGCCCGTAGGTAAAAAAGATCAACAAAGCGTAAGATAGAATAGCGCCAAATATAAAACAACGCTGGAACATATCAGTGAGCGTCAAACACACACAAAATGTTTTTACTTTTGTTATGTTTGTCAAGTTTATACTTGTTGCACACAGTTATTTTTGGTTGTACATTGATTGGAATAAAATTCCCTAAACAGACATATGCATATAATACATGATATGGGGGAAGCATTACCAGTATAAACGGCTAAAGTCACCCACCTGCAACCCGTTTGGGACACTCATGCAGACACACGCT